CAGTTCCACGAAGGTCGCCACTATACTTCAATCAGCAGGAAACGGATTGATTAGTCGTACGTTAACAAAATGTCGCTTTTTCTTAATTAATAATCACCGCCAAGTTTCTAGCCGATGAAGATTCCGAGAATGATGGCTTTCAAGTGGTGAACGTCAGCTTAAAAGAGATAGAAGCAGGCAGGCCCAGCATCCATACTACAGCTGCTTATGGTGTAGGAGTATGCAATGTAGGTCTTCTGAATTGAGTAGTGACCATAGTTGTTTTCGCTGTAGACGTTGAGGCATGTGAGGGAGCTGAGTTTGGCGCGGTGTGAGCCCGTTTTCCACCATTTGTTGTCGCTTGCTCGCTTCAACGATTGATGGTGGCGCCGCGCCACACCCAGCTCACTGACACGCCCCAGCGTATACAGCGAAATCTACGGTACATTCATCAAAATGTTGCATGAATGTTCATAAGGTTTAGGGCGACAGCGGAGGTCCACTATTTGAAAGCGAAGGCCGAAAGAACACTATTGTTGGAGTAATGTCAAGCGGTAACACATGTGACATTAGTGAGTTCTTTAAAGGCACAAAGCACGATAATTTGGTTAGTAGCTCAAAAAAGTAGCAGGGATGCTATGTGGTTGGGAAAATTACGAAAAACAAAGTTACGCTGCCAAAAACCTGCAAAAGAGCCTTTACTACAGGGCGAGCATCTTCGGACGAGTTTCCCGTTAGCATCGTGCCAACAACACCTTGATAAATACGGCTGCACGTATGTATCCATGTATCAGTGTAGCAACACTTCACATCAATTTACTGCATAATGGAGCGATCATAGCATCGGCGTTGTGACTGTTCGACCATTTGTGGGCGGGCGGGTGCGGTGGCCATCTGGGTGCTTATGTTGCACCTTGGTGGGGCGCTGTAACGGTGCCCTTTTTTTAAAAAAGCACCCAGATAGGCATATATTCGCCCGCTACTAACTAGGGAGGGAGGTCGTTCAGGACGTGGAGCGCTTTTTGAAAACGGTTTTTTGCATGATGTGGGGTTACGTGCATGGAGTACCAAACTGGTGTTCATTTTTCCTGAACGCCTCTGGGAATGCCAAAAATGGAGTGAAAAGAAGAAGTCCATGGAAACCGGCTGTTTTTGAGCGCTTGAATTGGCCATCTAGAATCACTCGCGAAGCTTCGGCCATGTTGCTGCCTAATAAGGGTGCCGGTTATAAAGGGTACTGGTGGATCGAGTGATGAAAAGTAGTGCGGCCATGGGTCCTACTTGTGGCACGTAGTCCCCAATTTGAGCCAAGTCTTTCTCCCACTGGAGTCGCTATGTACATTCGTTTGAGGGACTTGCAGGGCCATTCTGACGCCAGATTGGGTTGATGTCAAGAACAAGTGTCAGAATCGTGATCAGGACCATCGATTACCCCTATAGGCAAACTTTCGGCCAAAAAATTTTTTTTGACTTTTTTGAGTTGTGATAGACCGACCATTTTGGTCGTCGGTGATGACCGGAGACCCACAACTTTGGAGTTGCGATGACGTAGCGATGACGTGGTGGGCCGCCGGGCAGCCGCATCGCGGATTTGGTGCTCATAAGGTCCATTCATACTTGGCATGGGCATGGGTGGCCGCAGAACAAGTGAAAAACCATCCTGGACATTTGTCGACCCCCGCGACGGCTCGCTCAACGAAGATGTCGTCCTCCCCTACCAAGAGGAGAGACTCATCCGATTTCTTCATCAAATGCACCTGGAGGAATGATGACTATTTTTGTTCTTTTTTTTTCGATGGCGTTTATGGTTGTTGCTAGTTTTTTGTTTCCGTACCACTGAATGAGGGTTTCGATAACCAGCAAAAGTACGACTTCAACAAAGTGACTCTTGAGCATAACCCAATGCACAGACTCAAAAAAGTCAAAAAAAATTTTTGGCTGAAAGTTTGCCTATAGGGGTAATCGATGGTCCTGATCACGATTCTGACACTTATTCTTGACGTCAATCCAATCTGGCGTCAGAATGGCCCTGCAAGTCCCTCAAACGAATGTACATAGCGACTCCAGTGGGAGAAAGACTTGGCTCCAAATTGGAGACAAATGGCACTAGAGCTGAAAGTAAATGCCATAGTCATGATCAGGGCATCGAATAACATATAAAGTTCAACAACTTTCAGACAAGTTCTTGCTTAATGGTTTGTAAATCGAAACTGCTGAATAGCACCGACTACGGGGTATAACTATTTAGGATGTGCCTATAAATGGCAGATATCCGAGTAAAATTCATTAACAGACGTATATGGAAGCGACAACAACGGAAAATAAAAAATGCAAAAACGTGCAAGCCGAGGGGAGTCGAACCATCATCCCCATCCCCACCGTCTGCTTGAGAATCCTCCACGCTATCCACTAGGCGCCATCCGATCGTTGAGCAGGTACCACTTCGATTGCTTAAGAGCCCCTTCGAATTGGCCGTCGACTCTTAACTACGTGCTACAAGTAAGACCCCATTGACGACTACTTTTCTCATCGATACCAGTACCTTTATAAGGACCCTATAGGCAGCAACTGGCCGAAGTTGCGAGTGATTTAGAGCCCATTCAGGCTCAAAAACAGTTGGTTTCCATGGACTTTCTTTTTCACTCCATTTTTGGCATTCCCAGAGGCGTTCAGGAAAAATGAACACCAGTTTGGTACTCCATGCACGTAACCCCACATCATGCAAAAAACCGTTTTCAAAAAGCGCTCCACGTCCTGAACGACCTCCCTAGTAAGAGGGTACTGGACCGCAGTCCGCATTGTGGGTTTATCCTGTTCACTGGCCATTATATCAGTGGAGCTGAAGAGATGCATGTGAGAGAAGACAACTTTTGCCTCTCAAGATGGACGGGCTGGGATGTGTATCAAGTGCTGAACTACCATTGCTGTTCACCTATTGTGCCAAATGTGCCTGCTATTTGTGTAGTGCTCTCACAGCCTACCTAAAAAAGAGTAACGTGTGTGCTGCCCCAGAACTACTCATAAGACCTCAGAGTTACCTCATCTCCATTTTAGTAATTTTAGTATTGCACAATGAGCCCTTAAATGACTCCTTCCCTTCGAGAATACACTGTACTTTCAACTCCGTTTATGCTGACCCGTGCCATGTGCGAGCTGAACTTTTCCGCAGCTGTGGGAATGACACGCTTTCCTCCCACGGAAGTGCGCTGCACGGAAATGGGGATGAAGGGCAGCTTTAGCTAGATGTCATCGAGTCTCTACCTCCGAGTTATGTCTCTACCGCTCAACCATAGTCAAATGCGCTAATGTCTGCGCCCTCTCATGTCTGATTGTCTGCGAGCATATCAATAGGGGGTGGTGACGGCGGATCCTGAAACTGAGAAGGATAAACGATGAAGAAGATTACCGTAGTCGAGTCCTATACTACCAGGGCTGTCACAAGTTTGGATAATTGCCTTTGAGGAAGGCCAGGTGTGACGCGGTTCCATTGCTGCTAACAAGGGAATGGTTTGAACTTCCCATGGAACTTTGAATGGAGACCTAGGTACATCGATAGAGCCTCGAATGCTGATTACGAATATGCAGATTAAAAGTGCTACGGGGACCTCCCAGACGAGTTCTGGGCGGTCAAAGTTTGCGAAAACTCGGTTTTGGCTCGTAAGCGCTGCTGATCGGTCATTGGGCAGTGCCACCGTGGCCTAGTGGTAACGGTCTCGCTTCAAAGCCAAATGCTCGTGGGTTTGCATCCCGTTGGCGCGAAAACTTTTGCTACCTATAAGAGCTTTTACTCTAATTTTGAAATTCCTCGTTACGGCTCAGCAGAGCAAGTAAGTAGATCAAGTATATGACGTACTCGATCAAGTATGGATTTGATCGCTATCTGTCCTCTCTGAACTCATTACCCATCCGACAATTCGAAGTTTTGGCCAGAATCACAATTTGGCCAGAAACTCGTTTCTGGGGTATTTTGACCCCTGAGCACATATCACATCCGTTTGACGCGAAAACGATCGGTTCCCTCGTTCAGTTGATGACCACAACAACGTGAAAGGCTACAAGCGTTTTCTCGCCAAACGGATATGATATTCGTTTTCAGGGGGTCAAAATACCCCCAGGAACGAGTTTCTCGGCCAAAACTTTATAACGAGTTTCTCGCCAAAACTTTGTATTGTTGGATGGGTAATGAGTTCAGAGAAGAGAGATAGCGACGATCC